TCATGGAATGATGAATCAACCTTATCTTCATATCTTCATCGTATGCCTCTGGTTGAATTGCTGAAGAAAACTCTAAGTGTTGTTGACGAGAGGGGTGATGAAGATGCTCTTTCCATGGTTGTTCTCCAGACTTGGTCAATTCCGCCTTGATGTCTTCATCAGTCTTGTTGTTCTTCATCACTTATTGTTTTTCATTACTTTTACACTTTATGGATTATGGGGTCTAACAATCTCCCCCTAAGTAATGAAAGAACAAAAACTAATCTATGAATAGAATTGAAGAACAGAGACTAATCTAAAGAAAAACATCAAACTCTAAATTTCCATTGGATGATGAATTCTTACAGTACTGGAAACAAAAGACAACATTTTAAGGCAAAAATTTACAACTCATCATGATCTACCTTGAGATATATCCCAGAAGCGTAGAAGCAGTCTTCGATAGCCGATGCCTGTTGATACCTCATGAATGAGTTAATTTCCATCTTCTATTGGCACATGAGATCTACCAAGTATTTCACTAATGACCTTCTGAAACTCAAGTGTATCGGTTGAATACTTGAAGGCTTCAGTCAATCTGAAGAATTTCTTTACCCCAAACTTATTTTTGAAAACAAGTCCAAGCTCGGGTTGAGTTAAGACAGAGGCAGATTTTTTCTCTTGCAGGCCAGGGAAGTCTTCATTTGGTGGAGCGCAGGAGAGTCTTTCGATGCCTAAGCGAAGAACAATTTCAAAATCACTCTTGGCTTGATGCTTTACCAGGGTCTCCATTGTCTTCACAACCGCTCTGTTCGCCATCCCAAATCTGATGCCATGATCCTGTCGCTGAGCCGTGTATGCATAAAGTTCGATCAAGTCATAGGGATTGAGGTTGATCAGGTCATTGAACACACTGATTTGACCATGTGCTCTTTCCACTGTGTACTCGATGTATCTTATGGTTCTGTTGGCGAAGGTCCTCACTTTTAGGTCCATAACCCTCCTTATCCCATTGTTTGAGAAGACAGCTTATGGTGCTTGGGTGGTCTGTCTAATAAACCTATGGTGTAGAAGGTCCATGGATTCTAGCGATAGAACCGAAGGATTGAGGGTCAAACTTTCATCGCGGTCGTGATACAAGTATTGATGGATATTTTCCATCATTATAGCTTCCCTAGGTGGTAGCTCTGGACGTCTTCGCAGCGACTCCATGTTCTGGATTATTTCATCGACCAGGCTCTGCGGAGGTTGCCTTGACGAAGAGGGAATGTCCGCTTGCACCGTGGTTGGTTCGATTGGGGTTTGAGTTTGGGTGATGGTTTGTGTATCGGTTAGGGTTTGTGTATGGGTAGAGGGTTGTGTATGGGTAGAGGGTTGTGTATCAGTTGGCAAGGGGGTTTCTTGGGTTGGCTCTTTTTGGGGTGGTGAAGGTTCATCGGGTTGTGTCTGGGGTTGCGGATGTTGAGGTGAAGGTTGGATGTGTGTATGTTCAGGTTCATCGGATAGGGTGATGAAAGGTTGTGTTTCGCGAGGAGTTGGTGATGGGGTTAATGGTAGGTTTGGTGTGGGTGATGGAGTAAAAGGTTGGATTGTTTCTGTTGGTGGGGTGGTTGGATTTTCATCGGTTGAGGAACTCAGCACGATGGGTTCTTGGGTAGTAGTGATGGGAACATGTACATTTTGTACATCTTCAGAGGGTTGAGCCTTTGGTTCCCTCGCTTGGGTTCCTTCGGTTGTGGGTCGTGGTTGTTCTTGTGTTTGTGGTGGTGGTGATGGTGCAATGGATTCCATTTGTTGGGCAGTCGTGGCCTGATTCTCCCCGTTATGAGGTCCAAGACCTTGTTCATCGGGGTCTGGGTCCTCATGGCGTGGCCTCTTTTACGGGTGGCTGCTTGAGCACGAAGCTCTGCTCCTCTTCTTGTTTTTCTCATTCCAGAAGGACGCAAGATACGCCTTCAGGGATGCTTGTCTTCGGCTCTCCTCCATCGTGTGAAGGAGAGAGGTGGTGCGCTTTTGTTCATCAACAAGGTTCTGGGAGAGAACCCTGGTCGGTTGAATAGCACGATGGATGAATTTTGCACTTATCTCATTGAAGGATGAGACAAGTTCCTTGGACAGATCCCTTAGATCGGCTCTGGTAGCGAACACCGTGCTTGATGATGAAACTTGTGGTGGCACGGAGGTCGTGGTGGATGTAGATGGAGGAATGGGAAGGTTGGCGATGAGATTTCTGACCTCTGCAGTGAATGAGGAGAAGGCTGCATGGAAGGATGGGCCTGCAGAGGGAGGTGGGGGTGGAGTAGGCTGAGGGATGTGGGCTAGAATTATGGCGGGGAGTTGGGTGAGGGTGGTTTGTATGGTGGCCATTTGGTGGGTAAGAGAGGCAAGGGTTTCATCGATTGATGAAGTGGTTTGAGGTGGGGCTTGGTGAGGAATTTGGGAGATGATGTTGGGTGGTAGGGTGTTAAGGTTTTGGAGGATAGTATTTAGTTGGGTGGTTATGTAGGTAAGGTTCTCATCGGCCTCAGTTGCCTGGGCCGTGAGGGTGGCGATGGAGTGGATGTGGATTTGGTTTCTTTGGGTGGCAAGGGAGGAGGCGGTATTGTGGTGTTGGGTGATGGTTTGCTGGAGCATTTGGAGACGTGTTGTATTGTCTCGGGTTTGGGTTTCAAGTTGGGAGAGGTGTCATTGAAAGATGGCAAGGGATTGCTGAAGGGTGGTGTTATCGGTTGAAGGTGGGTTGTCAACAATCCATTGTATGATGAGTTTAAGGTCTTCCAAGGACCGCCGAACTAAGTCAACAAAGGCTTGGAACTCGGCCTCTGTGACTAGGTCAGCTATGGGGGTAACCCCTGCAGCAACAGATGCTGCAGGTTGAGCCTATGCTCCAGAGGCGCCTTCATTGCCTTGTGAAAATGTAGGTCGTGAAGGACTTCCATCATGTCCTTGATAGCCCTCAAGTGAGGAGCTATCTCATGATGTTGCTGCATCGGCTTCCTCTTCCTCGGCTTTAGAGACCGAGTAAATGAAGCGAATATGTGTCCCCTTCGGTAGATCAAATATCGAAGGGGGATGTATAGTAAAGGGAGATCGCTCTAAACGATCTTGGTGTGTATGAATGTCAGAAGAAACACATGCTTATGTGTGTGTGATAGGTTGTGTCGAGCTTTGAGGCGAAGGGGCTCTTATTTCTTCATCACCTCTCCGTTGGGAGAGGGGTGATGGAATGTGGGGTTCCTCAGCTGATTCATCTCCAAAGGCCCGAAGAATGGCCTCTGGATGGCTGGCTTGGGTAGGGTTTGGATTGGGTCGTCCTTGTTCAATACCCTTTTGGCTTTAATCGCCAGGGGTAGATATGGTGGTTGCCCTTTGGGAAGTGGGTGAAGAAATTGTTTGAGTATGGCCGTGAGAGGCACGATGAAGATGCCTCTTGTGCTCCCTCGCTTGGTTCTAGGGACGGCTCTAGTCGCTCTAGGGTAGCTGCCCTCGGTTCCTGGTGTAACACCCCCAAATCCATACATTGCATATAACACATATTTCATCATCGAATACATGTTTTAAACCCACATAGGTCCATAATACAAGAGTCTAAAATACGAAATACACAACTCAAAATTTCCGAATACAAGTTATTGCAAATGTAATTCCTATGAGTTCCTATCTTCCTGCATGCAAGTAAAAATAGAATCATATCTTGCATCTGGTCCCCAACAAGTAGTGCCTCCAAATCTTTAGTGCAAAGACAACAGCTGCCAATTCCATATCATGGGTTGGATATTGCTTCTCATGATCTTTTAACTGGCTAGATGAATAGGCTATTACTTTTCTCTTTTGCATCAACACACAACCCAAACCCAACTTTGATGCATCACTGTAGACAATGAAATCTTCTGTTCCTTCTAGTAAAGATAGGATTGGTGCACTGCAGAGACGGTCCTTTAAAGTTTGAAAAGCCTTTTGTTGATCCTCCGCCCATTGAAACTTGAAATCATTGCAGGTCAACTTGGTTAGAGGTACAACTGTTTTGGAGAAATCTTTGATGAACTTTCTATAATAACCAGCCAATCCAAGGAAACTTCTTACCTCAGATGGGTTTTGTGGTGCCTTCCATTTCTCTAGAGCTTCAATTTTAGCTGGATCCACCCTGATTCCTTCTTTGGAGATGATATGATCCAAAAACTGTACTTCTCTTAACCAGAATTCACATTTGGACAACTTAGCATATAGCTTTTCTCTCTTTAACAGCCTTAAGATCAAATGCAGATGCTTTACATGCTCTGCCTCGGTCTTTGAGTAGATAAGGATGTCATCAATGAAAACTATCACAAATTTGTCAAGGTATTCTCTGCACACTCTATTCATGAGATCCATGAAAGCTGCTAGTGCATTGGTTAGACCAAAAGGCATAACCAAGAATTCGTGATGTCCATACCTTGTTCTAAAAGCTGTTTTAGGTGTGTCTTCATTTCTGACTTTCAATTGGTGATAACCAGATCGTAGATCAATTTTTGAGAAGAAGTGTACCCCAACTAGTTGATCAAACAAATCATCAATTCTAGGCAAGGGATACATGTTTTTGATTGTGACTTTGTTGAGTTCCCTGTAGTCTATACACATCCTCATTGTTCCATCCTTCTACTTTACAAACAGAACTGGTGCTCCCCATGGTGATGTACTTGGCTTTATGAACCCTTTATCAAGCAAGTCCTTTAGCTGAGACATCAACTCTTTTATTTCAGATGGGGCTAGTCTGTAAGGAGCTTTTGCTATGGGTGCAGCCCCTGGTGTGAGTTCAATTTTGAATTCCACATCCCTGTCTGGTGGAAGACCAGACAGATCATTTGGGAAGACTTCAGGATATTATTTGACAACAGGAATAGATTCTGGTTCTTCTATTTCTCTAACTGTACTAATCACATAGGCCAAGAATCCTTGGCACTTATTTTTCATACAACTGTGAGCCTGTGATACTGATAGAAGACTGGATGATGATCCTGGCGATCACCCTTTATTATGACTGTTCATTTGCCTAGAAGCTCTATTTTCACTCTCTTTTGGTTGCACAAAATGGATGTCTGGTTACTGGCTAACCAGTCCATCCCCACCACTACATCAAATTCCTTCATTGGCATAGGGAACAAACGGATGGGTAGCTTACAACCTTCAATAATGATGGCATAATCTTGGTATACAGAAGCTATAGTTTCTTGATTGTTTGCAGTCTCAACTATCAGCTTTTTATCAAGTAATATTGGGATCATGCAGGCACTTTTAGAAAATAAAGGAGATACAAATGAAAAATTTGCACCTGAATCAAAAAGAACCTTAGCACATATTGAGTTGATTGAGAAAGTACCTGTTACCACATCTGGTGCAGCTTCTGCCTCAGTTTTAGTCATTTGGAAGGATCTGCCTTGAGCTTTACCAAATCCTCCCCTATTAACACCAGGCTTTCCTCTGTTGTTTGGAGCATTGTTTCCCAAAGTTAGTTGTTGTGGTTTCAGCTGTGGACACTTGTCTTTAACATGGTATGGTGAATTACAATGGAAACACCTTCTGATCTGCCTACAGTAGGTTGAGGTGTGCCCAATTTCTCCACAGTTAAAACATTTCAATGGTTCARGTCYACARCTACCTTGATGAACCTGTTTGCATCTTGGGCAGGCTCTCTCCATCTGCCTCTGCATTGGTTTCTTGTAGAATTTARCAGCCTTTGATCCTCTGTAGCCAGTTGAGGATCCCTTCCATTTTCTCTTTTCTACAACCTTCCCTTCCTCACTCCTACTCTTATTCCTTTTAGTAACCTCTGCAGCATCAACTGCTGCAGGAAAAGTGGTAGGATTCATAGCAATCACCAATTCTCTTATTGATGGCTTAAGTCCCCAAATATACCTCTCCACTTTCCTTGCTTCAGTAGCAATATAATGTTCAGCAAACCTGGAGAATTCAATAAACCTTTCTGTATAGGCTCTGACTGCCCCCAAAGTCCTGCTCCAGCTTGAGGAAATCTTCCTCCATTTGCCTAAATCCTGTTTTAGGACAAAATTGCTCTTTAAGTCTATTCACAAACTCTGTCCATGATAGGTTCTGCAGCATATCTGGTCTGGCCAAAGACTCCACTTCCCACCAGAACACAACATTAGACTTCAACATAGCAATAGCAAATCTGACTTTATCACCCTTTGGACATCTAATAGTGTTGAAGACAGATTCAATTTCCTTGATCCAACGTAATGCTTTTATTGGATCCCTTTCTCCAGAAAAAGTTGGGGGTTTGCAGGTGAGAAACATCTTTATATCCCCTTCTCTAACATGAGGTTGTTGGCACCGCAGGAATTTCCTCGACCCTTTCTGTTTCTAATCTGGCAGGCATTCTTAAAATGGAAGTCAAGGTTTCCCTTAGCTTCCCCATCTCTTCAGCCAACATACCCYTGGTCACAACCTCTTCTTCAGGCACAAATTCTGGATTGTTACCTCTAGAAATAGATTTTTCCTATTCAAAAGGAAACTATGTCTGGTTGTTGCTTTCTCTGGCTTGACTTCTGCCACTTCCTCTGCCTCTACCTCTGCCCCCCTCTTCTACTTCTGCCTCTACTTTCTAAGGCATTGACAGGGATCCCTATACGAGAATCCTCTGTTTCACCGGGGTTAGGCTGAGCTAGTCTTTCAGATCTCCTYGAGTGGCTAGTCATCTGCAAGTTCCATAATTAGATAACACATTTTCACATTCTCAAATATAATAGAGTACTCAAGTTCAAATATGCACCTGTAAATTCAAAATTACATTGGCCAGATGTAACCCAAAAATACCTTACATATTGAACCCTTAACTTATTATATTTATTCCAATGGTGCTAAATATGTCTGGGACCTTAGCATGCAATGAAATAGTTTAAGTCTAGGTATCATCATGCAAGTGAATACCTAAATCCCTTAAACCTAGGCTCTGATACCAACTTTGTAACACCCCCAAATACATACATTGCATATAACACATATTTCATACATCGAATACATGTTTTAAACCCACATAGGTCCATAATACAAGAGTCTAAAATACGAAATACACAACTCAAAATTTCCAAATACAAGTTCTTACAAATGTATTTCCTATGAGTTCCTATCTTCCCGCATGTAAGTAAAAATAGAATCATAGTATGCCTTTCCCCTTATCACTATAGCTGGTATTACCTGCACACACATAATTGAAACACACAAAATGAGGGTTAGACAACAGTCTAGTGAGATCCCCCTTTTTCATGCAGTGCAGGGTGATAAACACCAAAACCTTTATCACAAATTGTGGCATAAAAACAGATTTTGCTTTG